TTGAAAGACATATATCCAAGAACAGATAGTAAATAGTAAAACGTTGCTGAGTTATAATGGACAGGAAGTAGTGGAGAGCCATTGTCACCAATTGTTTGGACTCAAAACCGGCACTGAAGAATTGTCTATTAAACAAAAAGAATTTCAGCAAAATCGGATGAAATCTGGAAATGCATAAACAACATCCGATCACACACACATACACACACACACACTCTCAGATACACGCACACACATGCACACACATATACACACACATGCACACACATTTTGAGAATTATAGATATTGATACAAGGATAAGTAAAAAATTATTCACACTTATCTTTAGATAAGAGTTCAGATAATTTTTGACTTTCCCCCGTACACACACACACTCATATATATATATATATATATATATATATGTATGTGTGTGTGTGTGTGTAACGTGTGTGTGTGTTTATTTATTCGCTATAGTGTACCGCCCTCTAATTAAATACGCATAAATATTGGACCCAGGGGAATGTCTTTATTTATGTTGTAATTTATCTGTTCATCATGGGAGAAAAAGAATTACTCTGTCGTATTTCTGTTGTATAAAAATATCTTTTATGGTTACAATTAATATCTAAGCCTAATAAAAATATCTGCGTGCTTTGAAAAACTAATTTTACAAAATAATTCTTCAGCAAAATGAATTTTTCGACTTTTCATCCGATTAAATCTTTGCCATTTTTACAGGAACGAAATCTGCTTCCTTCTTAATTTGTTCTACTAGATTCTTGTACAAGACCGTTGTCTCTGAAACGAAGGTTGACATGTGAGTCACGAATCAAACAAAATCGATATTGTTTTGTTAATTGATTCGGATGTAGTACACGTTGTGCTACTCAGAAAGAGACATCAATGCGCTACGGTTCGCTATATTCATTTTCGAGTAAATACCTCTAAGGAAGGGCTGAATCTATCCCTTCGCAGATCTTCAGGGTGCTCGGTACTCTAGACACATGCGTAGCAACTGGTATAAGAGAAAGAAAACTTTGAATTGTAAGCCGTGGAAAACAGAACGAGAGTCACTTCATTATCTCTCCAAATAAATCATCATAATTCACACATAATATTTAAAATAATAAAGCCAACACTCAATAACATTTACTATGAACACGCTGAGCGTGTTCGAATAATAAAACAATTCTATAACTTTAGACACATACATAAAAAAAAAAAACTTACTTAGTTAAAAAAAATAGTTAAAAATCGTACTTGATAATGGCTAAAAGAACAGGCAAAAGCGCTCGGATATACATAACTTTTATACAGTTTTTACATACTCTGTTTCAGAAGAAAACACTTGTACCAACACAATGAAAATTAAATAAAAGTTTAATCGCAGTACCTTGTCAGTCGTCTTCAACGAAACATGTATAAAAGAGGGTTTCCTGCCTAATTACACACACACACACACACACTATATATATATATATATATATATATATTGATGCATGTTTCATTAAATAATATAGACAAGTTTTGTGCATTTATTTTAAGTAAAATTTCATCAAATGCTGCTAAATGCAAATATATATATATATATATATATATATATATATATATATATATATATAATAAATAAAGTAGCACACCTTAAAATTATATATATATATATATATAAATATATAGTCTTCAGATAAAGTGCTCAATATCAGAGATAGAGCGTGTAAATATATTGGTGGCCTGACGATTGCATCTAGCATGAAACAGGCTGTCGCCTCTAAGTGTTGACTTCTAATTTCACGTTTATATATATATATATATATATGTATTAACTCTCATGATCTATTTGTTTACTTCCAACAACATTATCTTGTGTCCGATGAGCTGGGAACCACCTAGCGAGACTATAGTCGCACACCAAAACGTAGGTACACGTATATGTACTAATTAATATATATCTTTGCTCTGTAAAACTGCATCGAGCACTATCACGTTTACACCTCATGCATAAATTTCACGATTATTTATCTGCTACCCGCATATGCAAACCAACACACCCGTACACGCTTGCTTATATCTGACTGTTTCATTTATCTACCCCACAACTATATATATATATATATATATATATATATATATATATATATATATATATAAGCAGAATTACCAACCAGACGTGTTTCACTAGTTGACGCTATGTCGATGTTATATTTCTTCAACTCGAGAGAAACAAGAGCTGTTTTACGCTCTGGTGCAGAATCATTGTCTTGAAGAGTGCGAACATTCATTCCAGGATCCAAAATGGAAATTCTTCTTATACTTATTCTGATCTTTCTAGCTGTTTCGATTGGATAACCGGACAGCTGCAGCGGGCTGCCAAGTCACTGTGTGAGCAAGCCATGTTTAGGGATCCTTTTATCGCTCCCTCCACACAATAGGGAAAGCAGTGTTAATCCTAAATAGAGCTGCTTTGTCACCGATGGAGGACACGGACATCACAATTGCTCATGGGTTTGTGAAAGAACGGCTATCACCCATCGGTCTGCCATTGTGTAGAGCCTTCCAGTAATATCCTATCCTCACTCACTCGCCAGCGGACCTTGCAAAGGAACTGTGTGGATAAGAACGAATCAAGATAAACCGCCAGAAAACCCCCACAAGTGATTTGATTAAAGTGGTGAGGACTTGTGCAGAACCATCCACATTGATTATTGATACACTTAGTCGTTGCAAATAAATGCCACAGACGAAGCAGACAATATACCTCAGGCTTTTCGAGTAAGAGTTTTCCATCTTATATATATATATATATATATATATATATAAAATCCTAGTGAGCCAGAAACTACCCACCTTCAGGGCGAACTTAGTGTATTGAGGACTTTACGTCTTATTGAATGTAGAATAAAGGGTTTAAAAAAGTTTATTTGAACGTTTTAAAACCCTTAGGAAAGATAGTTCCTGTTACATTCTCCGAGTTTTTCAATTCAGAGTTACGCAAAGAATTAGTTTTACAATTCGAAATCTGTTTCGACTTTAAATAATTCACAGTGGGTTGATATGTGTGTGTCCCATAACCCTTTAGGGACTTAGGGAGACACACATTTACTGCAGCCATAGCAGCATTGTTGTGCCTAGGGCAAAAAAGACTGAAGGAACTCAATCCTCTTCAGATTGTTTTTGAATTAAAATTTTCCTTCTCGTAGACTGGTGGCCGCTTCAAAGCAAGTGTGCCCTAGTTGCACTGGAAATTAAGCCATAGCTGGAGGAAGATGGTTTCATGCCTTTGCCAATAGCATTAATGGTATCGTGCGGGAATTGATGTCATCATGCCTAATTCATTTTTCGCGCCGATATCAATTACACTATATGCACCTCCAACGGGTTGACAAGCCGTAAAAACAAAAAAACAAAAACAAATTCCTCAATCAAACCACGCATATATACCCACCAGATGAAGAGCACATTTATGGCACCCGGATACATGGGCCAATGATAAAAATTGCTCCAGGCTCTTCATCTTTCGGGTCACATCAACATTTGACCTCGAGCTAATATTAATTTTTAACCCCTTCGCATCTTTGGAAGTCGAAGACTATATTGAAGAGAGCATTTGAGTGTTTTTTTTTTTTTAAATCGGTATCACTCCGTGCAAGGCAATAAAGCCACTAAGACGCATTGGATTACAGGATGTGGAAGAATTAGGAAAAGAAACATTAATAAGAAGAGTAATTAAGAGGACAGTAGATAGTGATTGACATTGCATTTAAATTTTTGCAGCTGGAAAGCATGGAAGGGAGTTCTACAAGCGAGAAGTGCGAGAAAAGAAACTGTTAACGTAGAACTTACTACTACATCTAGTCAACTCAACTTGAAATTGATGAGATCTCGACACCAGTCTAGTTAATTTGTTATATGCCATGTGTGATACACGTTTAGGCGATCATCTATCTTTCGATACATGACTGACGAGGCAGATTTTTTCCCGCAGTAGGTTGCTATTTCTTTCGGTGGTAGAACAGTTGCTATCCAAGGCTAAAGAACCTGGTCTGATCTGCTATTTACCTATTATTTTTGACTGAAATTAGAACTCGGTTCTCTGATTCCTTAATCCGAGTCGCTATTAATTACTTCAGCGTGCCTCCTGTCTAGTACGGCACTTAAATTCAAAAAGTCTACGTACCATAGCGAAGAGATCACCCAAACAACTACCATGCAATTATTTATAAAAAAGACACAGAGAGGCAACATTACGGCGATGGGAAAGTGTTTGAAGCCGAGTCACCAGATCAGGACCAATAATATTGATGATTCTTCATTGGATTTTATGAGGGAATTCAAGGTTAATAGCAAGGGCAACGGACCATATATGGCAGCATTATTCTAAGCAGATAAGTAAGATAGATTCTTGAGAGAAAAAAAAGTCTCGCATGACTCAATGAACCAACTTTCTTAGCAGCTGACGTAGCAATGGATTCAATGTAGTGTTTCGATTTAATAGCAGCTGAGAACGTTAGCCCGTGAAAGCGCAACGAGTCACTTTCCTGGTGGTTAGCATCAGCCATGTTGATGGAAGGCATAGTGAAGTCTCTCAGTTGATTAATTGAAAGTTTTGAAGGCGTTTTGTCCCAGATTTGAGATTTGAGGAGACATGTTGTCACTTGATCTGTTACAGTGTCCAAAACCTTCTCCTGGTGTGAAGATGATGATTATTGTGTCTTGCATGGTTTTACGCGCTGATAAGCTTGGTATGAAATATGCACTTGTTCAAACGTACTTTGAGGCGAAAAAAGAAAAAGATATATTTATTTTCTCTTAAGAGAACGCAATTAACGTAAAAAGGTAATAAAACGTAGAAGGAGTAATAAGATAGATGGTCGGGTCAGTTTGATATCTTGTTTGGCAGCTCGGCAGTTTGACATTCCTTTCTTGTAGTTATTTTGGGGGCTGTCGAAAATATAACCAAGAATATAAAGCGCAGCATTTGAAGAGAAAAATCTGGACCTAAATGATTGCAGTTATGTCATTAGAAGAAGAGAAAGAATCGAGTGGAAAAATGGGATAAGGGCAAAGAATAGGAAAGGGGAGGCAAAGAAGAAGAAGGAGGAGGAGGAGGAGGGTAGGAGTAAGAGAAAAAGAAAAAAGAAGAAAAGATTCTCGTGAAAAAAAAGAAAAATATGAGCAAGAAGAAGAGGTAGAGAAAAACGAAGAGAAAAAACAGGAGTAATGGCCAAAAAGAAAGAAGAAAATATTGAAATGAAGAAGAAGAAGAAGGAGGAGGAGGAGGAGAAAAAGATGAAGAAAAAGAAGAAAAGATAAGAAAAAAGGAGGAGGTGGTGGTGAAAAAGAAGGAGAAAAAGAAGATTCTGGTGAAAAAGTAGAAGAAAAGAAAGACGAAGAAGAATATGAGCAAGAAGAAGAAGAAGTGGAGGAAAACGAAGAGGAAAAAAGAAAGTAAGGGATAAAGGACAGAAGAAAATGTTGAAACGAAGAATAAGAAAAAGAAGAAGAAGTGGAGAAAAAGATGAAGAAGAGAAAAAAGAAAAGAGAAGAAGAAGAAGAAGAAGGAGGAGGAGTAGTAGTAGTAATAGGAGGTGGTAAAAAGAAGAAGGAAAAAGAAGATTCTGTTGAAAAAGTAGAAAAAAAGAAAGGCGAAAAATAATATAAGCAGAAAGAAGTGGTGGAGTAAAACGAAGAGGAAAAGAAGGAAGAAGAGAAAAAAGAAAATTTTGAAAGGAGGGAAAAGAAGATGGATTAGGTGAAACAAAATGGAAGGAAAGAAGGACGAAAAACAACATGATTGAGAGAAGGAAGAGGAGAAAAATGGAGAGGAATGAAGAAAGAAATGGTACATGAAACTAGAAAATGTTAAAATGTGGAAGAAGAAGAAGAAGAAGAAGAAGAAGAAGAGAAACATGAAAAGAAGAATGAGGCAGTAGAAAACTGAGAAGAGGAGGAATACGAATTGATAAAGAAAGGGAAGAGGAGGAGCAGTACAAAAAAGAAAAGAAAGGAAGAAGAAAATTGGATGAAAATAAACGATAAAAGGAAGAAGATAAATTAGACGAAAAGAAGAAAGAAAGGGAAGAAGAACTGGGGGAAAGGAGAAGGAAATGTGAAGAAAAATTGAGTGAAAAAGAAGGAAGAAAGGGTAAAAGAAGAACTGGGTCATAAAATAAAAAAAAGAAAGGAAGAAGAATTGGGTGAAAAAAGAAAAAGAGAATAAAATAATTGGGCGAAAAAGAAGAAAGAAAGGGACAAAGAAGAATTGGGCCAAAAAATAAGAAAGGAAGGGAAGAAGAATTTGCTGAAAAAGAAAAAAGAACAATTGTGTGAAAAAGAAATAATAAAGCGAAAACGCTAAATTGGGTGAAAAAGAAGAAAGAGAAGAAGAAGAACTGGGGAAAAGAAGAAAGAAAAAGGAAGAAAAAGGAAGAAAAAGTTTGGTGAATAGTGAAGAAAGATAAGCAAGAAAAAGGATTGGGTGAAAAAAGAAGGAAGAAAAAGAAGAAGAATTGGGTGGAAAAAAGAAAAAGCAAAGAAGAATTGAGCGAAAAAATAAGAAAGGAAGAAGAAAAAGAAGTAAAAGATGATGAAGAAGAAGAAGAAGAAGAAGAAGAAGAAGAAGAAAGGAAGATGATGATGATGAAAATAGTGATGATGATAAGAACCAAGAACATGAAGTAAATCAAAATGATACAAGCGAGTTAAAAAAAGAAGAAGAGAACGAAGTGAAGAAGAGGAATCGGGGGAAAAAGAAAACAAATGAAGAAAAGAATTCGGTCAGAAATAAGGTGGGAAGAAAAGAAGAACTGGTTGAAAAGAAGAAGAAGGAAAAGAGAAGGAGAAGAATTAGGTGAAAAGAAAGAGAAAAAGGAAGAAGAACTGTGGAAAAGAAGAAAGGAAAGGACAGAAGAAGAATTAGGGTGAAAAAGAAGAAAGAAAAGTGAAGAAAAATGGGTGTAAAGGAAGAAAAGGAAGAATAAGAATAAGAATTGGGTGAAAAGAAAAGAAAAACGGGAGAGGAATTGGGTGAAAAAAGAAGAAGAAAAAAGAAAAGAAGGATTGCGTGAAAAAAGTATGAAGAAAGTAAAAAAGAAGAAGACTAAGATGATGATGATGATGATGATGATGATGATGAAGAAGTAAGTAAAGACGATCATAAGATACGAAAGAAAAGGAGTGTGAAGAAAATTAAGAATGAAGTATCCTTGTAGAAGGAAAGAAAGAAAAGACGGTTAAAAATAGGAAGAAGAAGGTGGGAGAAGAAAGAACAATGTAAACGGGCCATTGAACAAAGGGGCGAAAAAGAAAGTAAAAAGTAAAATAAAAGCAGATAATCAGGAAGAGAGTAAAAAGAAAGAGAGAAGATAAAAATTAAAACGGACGGGAGGAGAATTAAAAGAAAAGGTAAAAAAAAAAATGTAAGCCGAATAAGAAACATGAAAGAAGAAGAAAGAGAGAAATAAAGAAAGAAAGAAAGAAAGAAAGAAAGAAAGAAAGAAATACATAAATAAATAAATAAAGAAAGAAAGAAAAAAAGAAAGAAAGAAAGTTGCAAAGAAAAAAGGAAAGAGAGAATGAAAGTTGCGGAGAAAAAAAGAAAGTAGCAGGGAAAAAGAAATTTGCGGAGAAAGAAAGAAAGAAAGAAAGAAAGAAAGAAAAAGAAAGAAAGAAAATTGCGAAGAAGGAAAGTTACAGAGAAAAAAGAAAGAAAGAAAGAAAAAAGAAAGAAAATTGCGAAGAAGGAAAGTTACAGAGAAAAAAGAAAGAAAGAAAGAAAAAAGAAAGAAAAAAGAAAGAAAATTGCGAAGAAGGAAAGTTACAGAGAAAAAAGAAAGAAAGAAAGAAAAAAGAAAGAAAAAAGAAAGAAAAATTGCGAAGAAGGAAAGTTACAGAGAAAAAAAAGAAAGAAAAGAAAAAGAAAAAAAAAAGTTGCAGAGAAAAAGAAAGAAAAAAAGAAAGAAAAGAAAGAAAAAAGAAAGAAAAAAGAAAGAAATTGCAAAGAAAAAGAAAGAAAAAAAAGCAGAGAAAAAAAAAGAAAGAAAGAAAGAAATGCAGAAAGAAAGAAAAAAAAGAAAGAAAGAAAGAAAGAAAGAAAAAAAAGAAAGAAAGAAAGAAAACATTAAGAGAGAATAAAGAACGTTTAGTTCGACACACGAAAAAACATTTGATGACTTATTTGCAGATATGACTCCTCGTCTTAGGATAGTCAAAATGTCTGGGATACGCAGACAATTACACTAACAATGAATGTTAAATCCTCTCCTACCATCACCACCGCTTTTGCCGTTACCACGAAATTGCACCCAGTCAGATATCGTCCACCGAACATACTGACGTCTGAGGTTTGACCAGGGTGCCAAGGTATTTGGGGCAAGACTCCACGTAAAAAATGAGACGGTGTGTAACATTTTACATTCTATGGGCAGGCAGAATAAATAGACATTTCATGAGTAAGTGAAAAATAAAATACGGGATATTGACTGCTGACAAGAACAAAAAAATAACAAAACAAAAAAAAACGTGTTATAAACATGCTTATTGATATAAGTAAAATATACAATTTAATGTATTATTTATGGCGAACAGAATAAACGAAAAAAAGTGCACAATCACCATTATGATCAATTATTGTATCAAAAATGTTGGAGGTTCCAGATAATTATTGAAGATCGACTCAGAGATTCGAGTCTCTTCTCAATTCGGGACCCAAATATGAATGATTCTTTTGATTATAGCAGAATATTTAATTTTTTTCCTTTTTTTTTATAAAATAAAATAAATATTCAGTAATAATCAAAACAATCATTACTTTATGGGTCCTGAAACTTTGAGTCGATCTCAATTAAATATCGTGAACATTATATATATATATATATATATATATATATATATATATATATATATATATATATATATATATTAAAGAAAAACAGACTTAAATTACAAAAAACTTACACTACACATCAATTTTAATTTCATTTTTCGTTTCATTTCACTTCATTTTTGGAAGTGCTATCTGATGATCCGGCGTCCTTTTAAAAGGACTCTGGTGAAATAAATTATTATAATGGTACCTTAAAGTGGTCTTTTTTTTTCTTTAAAATATTAGCTCTGGGTTTACATTGAGCTCTCAGGATTTCATCCTCCTTCGGATTACCCATACGGATTATCAAGTTTTTCATAACTTATATATATATATATATATATATATATATATATATATATATGAAGAAATATAGTCTTAAGGTGTGCTATATTTATGGGATAAAGTGCTCAATATCAGAGATAGAGCATGTGTAAAAAAATAAATAATGACAAAAATAAATAATTAAATAAACAAATAAACGACTTGCGGTAAAATAACCGCCAATGCACCACTGACCCGTATATATAAATAGCCGAGAAAAATAACAGCACTCGTAGCCTGACGATTGCGTCTAGCATGAAACAGACTGTCGCCTCTAAGTGTTGACTCCAACTGTAATATAGCCTGACGTGCCTTTAACCGATTTCCTAACCGAACGCTCCTCTGTGGCCAAATCGGTTAAAGGCACGTTATAGTTCCGTATAGGATACAGGTTCGATTCCTGTGAAAATTTCTCGAACATTCAGGCCAGTAAATGTTATTTAATACTGTTTATCATAAACAGATCATTTACTTAAATATTTGTATCTATAAAAAAGAATGTATAAACATAAAAATGTCTTAATATATATATATATATATATATATATATATATATATATATATATATGTGTGTGTGTGTGTGTGTGTTTGTGCAAATAAATAGAAAAATAGGAAAGAACACGTTAGGTAAATAATCCGGAGTTCTTTAGTATTTTCGTTTTTATTTTTTAAAAAAACAGTGCTCCATACAAAAGTAGAGCTTAAATTATAATTATTTAAAAAAAAATATGATTCTTCGCTACATAAGAGTTCTCATATTAGGAATCCTAAATTTTCGCTTGAGGATGAAACAGAGCTTGATACTCTAATTTAATTTAATTTTAATAATTATATTGAAGTTTTCGCTCTGTTTTTGAAACATGAGAACTCTTATGAAGCGAAGGAATCATATTTAAAAATTTTTTTATATATATATATATATATATATATATATATATATATATATAAAGAAGAGAGAAACCGCAAACGTTTTTGGTTGCAATGCGGATTTTTTAAAAATATAAATATATTATGCTTTATTTTCTATAATTTTGCAACACGTGTTTCAGGTCTAGCGACCTTCTTCAAGCAAAGAGTGGCTATTTCCACATATTATTAAAATGAATTAATTCTCCTTATGTTTTTTGATGTTAAACATTCTCCACGTTAAATATTCTCTTCTTTGTGTGGTAGTGGCACAAATGTCTTTCTTGAACTGGCAGTGAGAAAGTTCTTCTGTGTGAAAGGTAATAAAACATTTAAGACTGGTCCGAGAAAGAGTGAGGAAAGATACCTCTAGTTTTATCTTTTAATGAAACCTGGGTGTTCTTAGATCTATTTCCAATTTTTTGTGTTGTGTTCTTGTCAGCATGCGTTGTATACGTATATTCCCTCTCCATACATGCATACTGTCTTATTATAAGGAATTAGTATACCCATACATATACACTTCTTTCTTCTTTTTAATACATACACTTTTCTCTCGTTGGAACAACTATAACCTCTTCCCTTTATATATATATATATATATATATATATATATATATATATATATATTATAAGTTATGAAGAACTTGGTAACCCGTATGGGTAATCCCAAGGAGGATGAAATCCTGAGAGCTCAATGTAAATTCAGAGCTAATATTTAAAAGAAAAAACAGACCACTTTAAGGTACCATTATAATAATTTATTTCACCAGAGTCCTTTTAATTCTTAGGTCGTAATGAGGCATTTCATCTTCAGATTTTCATCTTCCAATGAAAGCGAAATATTTTGTAGCCATAGTTACATCAAATCCAAAATTTAAAAAAGAGACGTTCCTGCTTAAGCCTCTTTCTATATATTGGTATTGGTAGGTAACTTCCTTTTTACTAAGAGTTTGTTTTCTGTTTTTCCCAGAACTTCACTGCTTGCCTTGATAAAATTGGAGGACGAAACGCGTCGGTAAGTCATTTTTATACCATTTGTCTTTATTTTCAGAATTATTTCTGGTAAATTTAATTATATACATACACACACACACATATATATATGTATATACATACATACATATATATATATATATATATATATATATATATATATATATATATATATATATTTCAATTATGCAGTATACATTATATCATAAAGAGGTAATTATACAAAAAATTAATTAGCAATGTTAATGTAATTAATGGAGAAAGCCCTTCGCTAAGAAGACTTAATAAGGCTTCAACTTACTAATAATCATTTAATAACGCGATCATATATATTTAAATGTTTAAATAGGTGTCAGATAGATCTGATGTTGGTTGAGTACTTTAAAAAATTCACATTTTTATCCTCAGGGCGTAATTTTTTCCATTTCAGGTAAAATCCATGACGAAATAATCGCACGCCCCAAAAATATATAACTGCCAATAAATAACATATTTAAAAAAACATCTTTAGCTATACAATACATTTATTTCGTCTTGGAGTTTACCTGGAATGGAAAAATGATGCCCCGAGGATTAAAACGTGTTGGTGACGGATGGCACAGAAGTCGATGAATTTTGAAAAAAAAAATTATTACCGCTAATGCATTATTACCAGTAATACATTTTTGGAAAAAATATTACCAGCAATAAAATTTTGGCATTAAATAACCTCTTGAGGTTGATATGCCGTAAAAGAAACCAAACCAAACCAAACCATACCATCCAAGCAAGGTAATAAAACCACTAAGACGCAAGGGATTAATAAATCTCAGAGAATATAAAATATTATACTTCAGGGTTCTCCCTAAAAAAACAAAACAAAACAGGAAATTTTAGATTTACTATATGATCAAAGACGCACATTGGCGTAATGGATAGCGGCTCGGATTAAGGAATTCGAGAGTTCGAATTCCAATCGAATCCATTACATTCACTTATGTGCTAGTACACTTTGGAAAGGGTAAATAGTAGGATAAACCAGGTTCTAGAGCCTTGGATGGCAACTGGTCTATCGCAGAAAGAAATGGCCACCTACTGCGGGAAAAAAAATCTGCCTCGTCAGTCATGTATCGACAGATATATGACCGCTTACGCGTGTATCACGCATGGCACATAACTGACTCACTGATATGATAAAACAAAATAACTAACATATAAAAAAGTTAACTATATATTTTACTATATGAATGAAGTAAAAAAATTAACTAACATATAAATTTTTTTAACCATTTGTTGTTCCAGGATGCCGGATTAATCAAATTTTCAAAGCGAGATGATTATTCTCTTTAAGAAAGAACATACAATTTTGGGACTGAAAAAAATGCCAAGAAATTTTGCCAGAGTTCTTTAATTTGAACACCACATCTAACATTTGTGTTTTTGTTCTGTTGTAAGCTACTAAATTTCTATTCTTTGCTTTTGTTTCAAGTAACTTTAGCTAAAACTCTAACAATTAAATAAACTGTATCAAATTTCCTTTTTTTTCTGTGGGTCAACCTTTTCTAAAGAAAGAAGACAATAAATGGACAAGAATTAGAAATACAGAACATTTAAAAAAAAAAAATAATGTTTCTTGTTTTCTTGCGGGTCACATAAAATTTAGGCGGGTTATAGTTCGACCACGCTGTCTTAAAAGTACATAGAATTAAAAAACGAAGTAAGGCAATAAAATCACTAAGACGCAAGGAATTACTGAGTCTCAGAGAATATAAATTGTTTCCATCTATTTATTTCAAGAGTCAAACGATAAAACCGAGTCGCCAATTTAGTAACACGATTAAATGCCTGCAGTCGAGGAACCAAAGACAAAAGCATTTTAGAAGAACTTCGCTGAAAATATTTATAGAAAAAGACAGCGGGGAGCAACGACACGGCGGTGGGGAAGCAAATGAAATCGAGATGCCAGGTCAGGGCCTATAACATTACAGATAGTTCTTCGGTTTTTGTCAAAGAATCTTTAGATATAGTGATTTTCCAAGCGAGGCTTGCATGTGACACAAAGCCGAAAGTAAGGATCGAACTCACTACTCGGTCGTAATTGTTCTAGCGAGATAAGCTTGCTAACCATTACACCATATCGACGTGCCCACGTAGCTTAGATGTGGCGCAAGGCCGAAAGTATGGGGCGCCCAGTGAGGATCGAACTCACTACTCAGTCGTAATTGTTTTAGCGAGGCAAGCTTGCCTAACCATTACATCACCTCGAGGTGTTCAACAGGTATTTTCAAAGCGTAGCTTAGATGTGGCACAAGGCCAAAGGTATGGGGCACCCAATGAGGATCGAACTCATTACTCAGTCGTAATTATTCTAGCGAGACAAGCTTGCTAACCATTACATCACCTCGAGTTGCCCAAAGAATCTTTAGATATAGAGTAGGAGCAACAGACCAGATTTGGTAACAATTTCAAGTTGTTTCTGAATATGCTTATCAGGATATATGAAACATTCAAAAGCGCCATGATGGTAAGCAGAAGACACGCCCGAACGCGCGCACACTTTTTACGAAGTTACCTAGCGTTTGTGGGTACTGGCCAGGTACTGATGACGCCAATTTAAGCAGTTATAGTATAGAGGCCGGCTTGTTTTTTTTTTTATAAATGGATCCGAACAGGTGTCTACAACAGGAATACGCTAAAAGTAGCAGGCGAGTATTATTGAAAACAGCTATTATTATTATTATTATTATTATTATTATAAAAAAGGAAACACGAAACGAAATCAATCGTTTCTAAGTGGAAACGGTCGAGCAATAACTGAAGAGTACTAAATAAAAAAACTACACGATATCCCTGGACATAGGCAATGGAATGAGAACAGTCTACTCCCGTAGATTAAATAAAGGGTTCAGTTCGGAAGTCCCTGTAGGTTACCAAGATCGATATACACCTGAAGAAGGGCAGAGGGCATAACGACCGAAACGTGAAAACAACAACAACAACAAAGATAAGGACAACAGTACAAATATAGTGTAAATCAGATAGATAGATATGAACAATATGAGATAGATATAAACAGACTGAGATATGTAGATAGATTGATAGATATGAACAGAATGAGATCGATATATAGAAAGATAGATATAAACAGACTGAGATACATAGATAGATTGATAGATATGAATAGAATGAGATCGATATATAGATATAAACAATATGTGATAGATATAAACAGGCATTCATAGATAGATAGATAAATAGATAGATAGATAGATAGATAGATAGATAGATATGAACAGAATGAGATAGATAGATAGATAGATAGATAGATAGATAGATAGATAGTGGGCAGAATGAGATAGATAGATAGATAGATAGATAGATAGATAGATAGATGTGAACAGAATGAGATAGATAGATAGATAGATAGATATGAACAGAATTAGATAGATAGATAGATAGATAGATAGATATGAACAGATATGAACAGAATGAGATAGATAGATAGATAGATAGATAGACAGATAGAACAGATATGATAGATAGAATGAGATAGATAGATAATGGACAGAATGAGATATAATGGACAGATAGATAGATAGATATATCTATGAATATATATATATATATATATATATATATATATATATATATATATATATATATATATATAGAGAGAGAGCGAGAGAGAGAGAGATATGAACAGAATGATATAGCATGTGTATATATCGACGACCTATTCATAATTACAAACAGCTTAGAAGGAATAAAAAATACTAAAAATGTTTTGAGAATAAATATGCCCTACAAATACGAAGTCACCATTGACAACAAAATCCCATTTCTTGACGTCTTGTCGATGCCAATAGACATAACTTTATCACTTCTCTTTTGAAATAAAAAAAAATGCTGAAAATCGTGTTTACTTAACTACAAAAGTGAATGTCCTCACCGATACAAAATAGCTGTTATAAAAACACTATTTACAGAGCCAAACTAATAACTTCTTTGTACATAATATTCTATAGGGAACTTAGCAACATTAAACAAAATCTTAATAAACAATAACCCTAATCCTAACCACGTCGTCGACGAACGACTAAAATTAACCTCAAGAAAATCTACATAAATAACGCAAGATACCTTCCCGAAGAAAATAAAAATAAACACACCATTGTCTTATTTCACGTCAGCAGATGCAACCTAATAATAAACAGGAGAAAATTAAAAACATATTTCACTGGTACATTTCACTCAAAGATTCTAACAAGCACCTAAGATTTCTCATCTCCTATAAAACGTTTATAACATTTAACTTAATTATTAACAACAACCGGACCATCAGCTCCACCATATATATATATATATATATATATATATATATATTGAACAATAAAAATATTCAAAAATTAAAATCTTCAGACACACTGGGTTGTAGATTAATATTCTTTCGTTTTTTTTATTATTATTTCATTTAGATTCCTCGACTAGTTTCGGCCAAAATGGCCATCATCGGGAGGAGAAATATTTCTGCTTGCTGATAGCAGTAAACTACAGAAATGAATGTCTTGATGCAGAAAATGAACTTTTGTCTGTAGTTTTCATTTGTTTTTTATTTTTTTATCTTTTTAACATGAATCTTTTAACATTCCTTGTGTTGGTCAAACAGTCTCTTTTAAGTTGTTATTTGAGATAAGAGCTGGATGGATCTATGCTTCTCTGAATTCCCGTGGTCATTTTGGCAGTTTTATTGTTCTGGAGAGGGGATGTGTCTCTGTTTAGTGTTTTTGTGTATGTTATTTGGTTCTTAGAGAGTGAGTGAGTATGATATGTGTAAGCGTGTGTATTGCTGTGGGTGTGTATTATCATTTGGCTCATTAGGGAGTAAGTGAGTATGATGTGTGTAAGTGTGTATATTCGTGTGGGTGTGTGTATAAGTGTGAGGCCTCAACACCTCCAAAACCATGTCTGTCTTGTGTGGGTGAGAAATGTGGGTAGGTTTTGATTTGTTGAGTTATATATTAGTACTATCTATATTATTAAATTTAGGGTTTAGCCCGGCTGGATATTGTGTTTTTAGACGTTGTATCCACTTATTTTCATGGAACTCTAAAATCTAAAAATGTTATCTGCTCTGAACTTTTCTATTCTCTCAATTATAGTGAATTTGGCATGGGTTTTGAAATCGTGTTTTTCCAGGCGGAAATGTTGTCCTACAGGCAATAATTTTTCATGGGGAGTCGACTTAATTCGCTTACGATAATTATTAATTCTGTAGTGAAAGGTCCATTCAGATTTTCCTACATATTGTTTCTGGCATAGTGTGCATTCTAGGAGGTAAATTATGTTATGACTTCTACAGTTAGAATCGTGGTAGATATTGAAAGAAGATTTAGTGATTGAGCGAGTGAATGAATATATATAATAGGGACTTAGGTGTTTTAAATCTTTGTAAATATTTCAATAGTTAAGCAATTTTTTTAGATATAGTAAAAAAAAAATTTTTTTTAAACAACATTTAAAATATTTATGACAGTTAAATTTAAGTTAGGAATATCCGAACAGTGACGTTCCATATCACGTGACGTCCGCGTCTCTCGAAGGACGCTACTTGCTAACAAACAGTAATTTTAATTTATTTGTAACAAACAGTTATTTTGATGAAAAATTGAGGACAATTTGAAATATCATATATATATAAAATAAATAAATACTTTCATAAAATAAAACATTATTATTTTTTAATTTGAAACTTTTTATATATATATATATATATATATATATATATATATATTGTGGTATATATATGTATTTTATATATATATATATATATATATATATATATATATATATATATATATATATATATATATATATATATATATATATATATATATATATATATATATATATATGTATATTCTATATGAGATATAAATATTTCCTTTTTTCCTTCACCCCTTTTCAACTTCCCTTCCCATTATTACCATATATACGCCGGTTATTTTTTCAAAGATATCTTTTGAAAGATAATTATGTCGTGTGTAACGTTCTTTGCGCGTTCTTTAAATAAAGCGTGAAAGAATCTTTAAAGTATTCTCCGAAGAGACCAACAGGTCGAAACCGGGGTCGCGTATTTTAATTGACCTCCTGATTTTAAACTTATATATATATATATATATATATATATTAAGAAATGGACAAGGTCCATTTATTTATTAAAGACATATTTTCGTTGTTATTTCTTACAAGTATTTAAGCAAATTTGTTTATGATAAACAACTTTACCCCTGAATGTCCGATTAATTTTCATAGAAAATTTTCGTTCTTTGACAGGATTCTTCCTATACGGAACCGTTATTTTTCAAAGAACCAATATCGAATTTACTGAAAAATAATTTTGTCGAATGTGTAATTCGTGCTCTTTCGAATGTAAAAACAAATTAAAGACATATTTTTATGTTTAATGTTTAAAAATAAATTGTCGGACCTTGTCCATTTCTTAATATATGACGTCATTTGTGTCACGCCGTAGTCACATGGGCGACGGACATAAAACACAATGTCTTTGACTAAAAACACGTTAAACGGAAAGCTGATCTTTTAAAAATTTTCAGTTATCTGTTTTACCTTGAAAGATTGTGTTTTTATGTCCAACGTTTTCGTCATATTGAACTGAATTTGTATTTTAATGAATTTGTCTTGAAAATGGTTTTTAAAACCGAAACGTCTGACGTCGACAATTTTTTCATTTTAACTATATATATATTTTTTGTTTAAAATTTCTATATTCTGTCGGATTTTATATATATATATATATATATATATATATATATATATGTGTGTGTGTGTGTGTGTGAAATTGAAATCAACACTTAGAGGTGACAGGCTGTTTCATGCTAGACAAAGTCCAACAATTATTTAAGACATTTTTTATGTTTATACGTTCTTTTTATAGATACAAATATTTAAGTAAATGCTCTGTTTATAAAAAAAACAGTACTAACAACATTTACCGGCCTGAATGTCCGAGAAATTTTCATAGAAAATATTCGTCCCCGACAGGAATTGAACTTTGTCAATTTCATAATGTATGGCGTCATTTGTTTACATTTAGATACGCATTGGGTAGATGTGAATGAATATATATATATATATATATATATATATATATATATATATATATATATATATATATATATATATATATAAAAAATATTGGGTGAGTATGTAGATGGTTATGGAACTATTTACATTATTCGGACTATTGTCCTCACCTTTGTCGCCATATTTATCACAACTTTTTGGCCGTTGTCCGCTCCGGCTTTCTTCAGGTGGTTGGAATGTCGATCTGAACCCTTCGCTCACTGGGGTAGACTGTTCTTGTTCCACGTGCCATGTCTAATGGATGTCAGTTATCAGTTATCTCCTGTTAATTACCCTCTCCAAGTTCTCCACCGCCTTAACCAGGTATTGAACTCACACCCTTTGGGTCCTGTCCGGTCTTTGGGTTATGGATCTGTATATTTCATATGTATTGTATATATGAGTATGTTTAGATATAGATATACACATGTATAGTGCTCATATTTATGATTGATGTTAACAATGTGTATTATGTATTTATTATTTGTTTGCGATCTTAGAAATGTGATGTTTCCACTGGGGCTGTCATTAATACAATGTATATATTCAAAATAGAGAACGGTTAAAATATATATGTTTGACCAATTTAGGTACTACATGTTAATTTATATAAAATGTTTCTCGTATAGATACATAGACTTATTGAACTTAAATCTGAATTTTTAACCTTTGTAGAGATATACTACATAGTTAATTCGTATTCTATTAACATTACTGAGTTTTAAATGTGACTTCGTATCCTGTTAAACGTTAATAAGTTTATTTAAATCATAAAGTTAATGGTGAAATCTCTTCGCTAACAAGAATTATTAAGTCATTAACTTACTAACAGTTCATTGAATAACGCTATCATTATGTTTAAATTGTTGTCAGATATTGCTAGGCGAAATATTTTCATTCTCAGTGCGTAATTTTTCCATTCCAGGTAAAGTCAAAGACGAAATAAATCCAGTATATACTGAAATATGCTTTTTCGTAAATATGTTATTTATTGGCAGTTATATAATTTTGAAGCGTAAAGGTTACCATACTCATTGGTTTTGAAGGAAGACAGGTGTTGGTACCATCCTAATTTAAAATGATTTTTAGTGCTACCAATATAATTTTATTTATGAAACATGAAACGTGAAATTTTTTGCTTAGCGATTTCAACATATTTTTATTATGATCTATTATAACAAATATAATAATAATAATAATAATAATAATAATATATTACTCTCTTTAGTATTGAGAACTTAAAAGTAAATACAACGAACAGTGAATTTTTAACCCATCTGTTCTTTCTCTGATTTGATTATTCTTTATATATATATTTATATATATATATATATATATATATATATATATATATATATATATATATATATATGTGTGTGTGTTGAAAGACAGTAAAACCATTGAGACACAAGGAGATACTGTGTGCGGAAGAGTTAGAAACATAAACATTGCTGAGGAATGAGAAAAGAGGAAGAGTAACAAGGAGGACAGTAGATAGCGATTGACATTGCATTTAAATTTTTACAGACTTAACTTGACCCTAATGCATGACACCAGAAAAGAATTAAATTCTATTTCCTTTCAAATTTTACATAGGAATTTAGAGTCTTGTATACAACTTTTTTAATATTCAGGATAAAAGAGGTGACGTTCTCTCTTCTCCCATTCTCCGCTTAAAATAATCAAAATTTAAATGTAATTTTTGCTGAGAGTTAGTGCTTACAATAATTCAATGAAATATATTCTTTCAGATTTGACATAAAAAAAAAGTTTCTTTGCTTTTAAAAAATTTACTTGTAATTTCTCAGTGCGATTTTGAAATTAATCCCATTGCTGTTTGTAACATGAGCTTTTTTTATTATTAAATAAAGACATGTTTAAAGAACTGAGTGGCTGTAAGTAGGAGAATACTGTACAACATTCAAAGTAATAGCCAATGTTTAAGGTACAATGGTATAATCTGGAAGACAATACAGTAGGCTGCAGCTAACAATAAGTGTTCAGTAGACTGTTGGGAAAGTCTCCTTCCTGAGGTCTTATATACCATAAGTTGGGCAAGACAACTAATGCCATTTCACATGGGAAGTTCTTCTCTTTTTCTGCAACAAAGCTCTACAGGGACTTCTCTTTCATCATGTTTTTCACAACCTGGAACCATGCTGCTGAAATGCCACGACCCCCCCAACAAACATGACACCCTTGTGGTCAAAGAGCCAATGGAAGCAAACCTTTAAGAAACAAATAAGACGTAAGGGGTTACTGGGTGTGGAAGAGTTAGAAACAGAAACATTTCTAAGGAATGAGAACAGAGGAAGAGTAATCAGGATGACAGTAGATAGTAATTGACATTGCATTTAAATTTTTGAGGATCAAAGTTGGCTAGAAAGCATTCCTCAAGTGAGAAGTGCGAGAAAAGAAACTGTTAACATAGAAATTGCGGTGATATCTAGCGAATTTAACTGCAAATTGATGAAAAATTGTTGCCAATCTAGTATTGTACTTAAATTCATTAAGTCTAGGCACTATAACAAAATATTTATAAAAAAGGCAGAGGGAAGCTACATTACGGCGGTGGGAGAGAGAATGAAGTTTAGGCGAATGAAATGAACAGAGAGAGATTTCTTTTAAAATAGAGAACAATTAATTACTATAAAGGTTGAAGACACAGCCGAGAAAATTCTGATATAGTTGGTGTACCATAGAGAGAGAGAAAGAGAGAGAGAAAGATAGAGGAAGAGAGGGAGAGAGAGGAAGAGATTGAAAGAGATAAAAAAGAGAATAAAAGAGAGAGAAAGAGACAAATAGAGAGTGTGCGTGGGAGAGAGAGAAATGGAATAGAGAGTGAGAGAAAGAAAGAGATAGAAAGAGAGAGAGAGAAAGTGTGTGTGTGAGAGAGAAAAATAAATACAGAGAGAGAGAAAGAGATAGAAATTAAGAGAGAGGAAGTAAGAGAGAAATAGGTCAAGAAAAAGAGAGAGAACGAGAAAAATAAATATATAGAGAGAAATAGAGATAGGGAGAGAGAAAGAGAGAGAAGGCATGTGTGTGTAAGAGAGAAACAGAGAGAGAAAAGATAGAGAAAGACAGGAATGAACAGAGGGAGAGGGAGAGAAAAAGAGTGAGATAGCGTGTGTGTGAGATAGAAAGAAAGAGAGATAAAGAGAAAGATAAATAGAGCGAGAGAAAGAGAGAGGGAGAGGGAGAAAAAGATAATGTGTGTGTGTGAGAGAGGGAAAGAGAGACAGAAAAAAAGCTTGAGAAATAGAGAGAGTGATAGCGAGAGTGAGAGAAAGATAGAGAGAGATGTGAACTAAGACAAAACAGAAAAATAAAATTATCATCATAAGATGGACTCATCGGGCGAAATGGTAGAAGAATTCAAAAGACAAATGTGTCAGAAACTAAAAGAGAGAAAGAGGAAGCAAACTATAAAAGAGAGAGAGAGAGACAGACAGACAGACAGACATTGTGTGTGTGTCTGTGTGTGAAAAAAGAAAGATGAACAGGAATTTATAGCAGTGTGTGTATATATATGCATGTATATGTGTGTGCTTGTTTGTGTGTACGTTAGAGAAATTTTGTTTGGTTTATTTTGTTTTACGGCATATCAACACCTCAATGGGTCATTTCATGCCGACAATATTTTTAGTATAGGTTCGTAGGAATAGAATATATATTCTTTTTAAGAAATCAGTTTGTAGATCAGGTTTCTTTGACGTATTTTTGTAAAGAGGGTTTTTGTCAAGAATCAATGGTATTTCTGGTAATAATTTTAAAAAATGTATTGATGATATTTTTACTATAAAAATTTATTTTTATACTTTCATAGTCTTTTGATCTCAATTTGGGGGTTAACTATTTGCCCATAGCTGGGACCCTAACAGATGATATCATCCAGGGTCAGGGTGAATCTGAGAACACCAGCAATAAAGAGGTGGTTCCATGCTTCTTAAAACCTCCCGATCAGAGACTTTGCTGCCGGATGTAGTTTATCGTCATACCCAGGACAAATGTTTGACAGAGAGAGGAAGATAAAGAGGTAACTAGGTTGGTTGGTTGATTTTGTTTAGCGGCATATCAACCTCTAGGATCTATTTAATACCTAAATCTTAATATTTTGTAGGCAGTTTTATTTTTGGAGATAATAATGGTTTAGCGACAAAAGTCTTACTAATTAACCCATAGGTGGGGGTTGGAAAGGTGGATTCATATCTTTCCCAAGGATATTTGCATGTAAATGAATATAACGAACACAACTGGAATTGGTTCTTCGATTAACAATCCCGAGTCATTATCCATGACACCACCCGCCAACGCAAGCTTACAGAACCTGGGGTCATACAGGAACTGAACAGACCCGCCGTTGCTTAACTTCAGGGATCGTACTGGAACCGGCGTTTCAAAGTGATGTGGCCGTAAGCCAGATTACAAGGAATGTGTGTGTGTGTGTGTGTGTGTGTGTGTGTGTGTGTGTGTGTGTGTGTGTGTGTGTGAAGATGTGACAGAAAGAGGGAATGGGGAAAAGAGAAAGAGAGGGGGGACGAGGTAGAAGAAACATAAAAATACTAAGCAGAAAACCAGTGAGAAAGAAAGAAAGAAAAGAAAGAAAGAAAGAAAGAAAGAAAGAAAGAAAGAAAGAACGGGACAAGAAAATATGCCAGAGATAGATAGATATGATTAGGTTGATATATATATATCAACCTAATCATATCTATCTATCTATATATATATATATATATATATATGATTAGATTGAAATAGATATGACTAGAATGAGATAGATAGATAGATAGATATGATTAGATTGAAATAGATAGATAGATAGATAGATAGATAGATAGATAGATAGATAGATAGATAGATAGATATGAGTAGGTTGAGATAGATAGATATATAGATAGATATGAATAGATTGGAATAGATATGACTAGACTGAGATAGATAGATAGATACGACCAGATTGAGATAGATAGATAGATAGATATGATTAGAGTGAGATAGATAGATAGATAGATATATAGATAGATAGATAGATATGATTAGGGTTATATATATATATATATATATATATATATATATATATATATATATATATATATGATTAGATTGAAATAGATATGACTAGAATGAGATAGATAGAGAGATAGATAGATAGATATGATTAGTGTGAGATGGATAGATATATAGATAGGTATGATTAGATTGTGATAGAAAGACATTGACAGACTGACTGACAGACAGACAGATAGATAGATAGATAGATAGATAGATAGATAGATAGATAGATAGATATGCTTAGACTGAGATAGATAGATAGATAGATAGAGAGAGAGAGATAATGGAAGCATAAATAAAATAAAGTACAGATATAAAGAGAGTGGTGACGCTGATACGGCTTCAAATAACAGAAACACAAAGAAAAAGCACGAAAGGAAACAATAGTAGTCGGAGAAGATTTTTGCGAGAGAAGACGAGACATTGAGATATAAATCGAGATAACGCGAGATTTCTCGTGAGAAAGAGCGTGTCGAGAAAATGGCAGAAAAGAATGAAACTAAAATAGAGACGAGAAATAGAGAACGCGTAGTATCTACAGAAATAGACTGAGACAGAAAAAGGCTAAACATGCATGGATAACATCAAGCGAAGGAGAAAAAGACAGAGATATTGACAGAGATAAGAATTGACAAGCTGAATTCTTAAGAATTTGCAAGGTTTTGTTTAGCGAGCTGAACATTAAAACGTGTGTTTATATCACGCAATTTAGAAAATCTCTGTGTCAGAAACATGGTTGTTCGGCAACCTCTTTTTTTTTAGGGCGTTCGGGCGATTCTTTTCATGATTCAACGTAGTGATTGGTCAAGCGAGTTTCTTCATATGCTTCTCGTTCTCTCATTATTCTTGGGTCTCCTTTATTGCTTGATATGCCGGAAAAAATGATACAGCGATGAGGGTATATCTTGGATGACTAAACTGATTTTGTGTAAGTAAATATAGAACGCGAGATGCAGATACTGCACGGTTGAATGCCCGCTGTAAAATAGTCGGCCGTAGACAATTAAAGCACAGCTGGACATGACAGGGATCATCTTCTTTCTAAATGTCAATGCCGACAGAAAAGGAAACTGCTGCACATACACATAGAAAGACACAAATACAAACTCACATAGACACACACATATATAATACACACACACACATATATATATACACACACACACACACACACATATATATATATATATATATAACTATTAATTCGAAAATTATAACATAAATATGTTATAAAATCACTACAAAAAAAGCTTTTGTTTCAATATTTCTAGTGTCTTATCAAGTGATGGTGTTGCATGTACATGCAACACCATCACTTGATAAGACATATCTATATCTATCTATCTATCTATCTATCTATATATATATATATATATATATATATATATGATGGTGTTGAATCTACATTCAACACCATCACGTGATAAGACACCAGGGGTGTTGAAACTTGAAACAAAATGGCTATTTTTGTAGTGATTTTATAACATATTTATGTTATAATTTACGAATAAATCATTATATATATATATATATATACATATATATATATATATATATATATATATATATATATATATGTGGGTGTGTGTGTGTGTGTGTGTGTGTGTGTGTGTGTGTGTGTGAAAAGTGTATATAAATATAAATAAATATATATATGTATAATTATTTATATATTATATGCGCGGTACTTATTAGAAAGCGCTCAATATCAGAGATAGAGCTAACATATTTGGTTGGATAGATGTGAGTTATATATATGTCTTATCAAGTGATGGTGTTGAATGTGCATTGAACACCATCACTTGAATTTTCTGGAACATATCATGAGCAAATAAGTCTATAGGAATTTAAAATAGGATATAGGAGAAGGCGTGTTAATAGACGAATAACAAAGTGAGCTATAAGAAATCAAGTAACGTTCTCATCCTTGTTGAAATTAATTGATACAGCCGCTTTTTTTTTCTTTCACCATACAGTCAGTTTTAGACCCACTGGAGTGACAGGGTGTAATCGATTTCTATTTTTAACTCAGATTAGGTATTTATAGTGGTGTGCAGTGATATGAATCCATTTTCGGGGTGTATCATGAAATTTGTTTGGCCTTGAGAAGTATTGCGTCATCCGTGATTGCATTAGTTTTTTTTATCACACCCAGACACTATTGTCTCGAATGTCGATTAGTTGTCTTACAGCCATTATTGTCTGCGAGGGACGTAACTACGATGAAGCATATGAAAATTGTAACGCTGCAAGTATACACTGGCAAGTCTTTCCACTGAGCAAATCAAGGTACTATAGATTGGCCCGGAAACTCTCCCGTTTTAAGTCCAATCGAGTATCTGTGGTCAATCTGCAAGGAACGACTTCGTGGAATTGGTATACGAAGTACTAATATGTGCAGTGGGTTATGTTTTACTGGAAAAATACGAAAAAAATAATAAGGGAATTATTCGTTTTGTTTCAAATAATTTGCACAAGGGTATACTTACAATCAGAACGAGACAATTTAAACTTCTGAGAATATAATGAGGAAATCCAACTTGGAGAATTTGACACTTGCAAGACATACTGGAAGTATGGGATGCACTAGTAAAAGCTTAATTAATTTCAATGAGTGGATGGCGGAATTCGTACAAAAAGGTGTTGTAAAGGAAAATATACAGGAATCCCTCGATTAGTGCTGCTAATGTGTACATCAAAAGATACGGACTAATCGAAAACGCATTAATCGAATATAATAACTTATAGGAAATGATGTAATTTGGACCTCAAATTTTAGTCTCATTCACAATTATTTTCTAGTTTACGTACTTAGACTATAAGAAGATACAATAAAAAATTTAGTATAAATAATTTCAGCGCACTAATCGAAAACGCATTAATCGAATAGAAACAAAATTGACAAACAAAATAGTAACCCACTTTCCATTTTTAAATTTTAGAAATTTTTTTAATTAGACGGTTACTATATAAAATCAATTACTGTAGTTAATTACTGTGGTTAATTACTGTGGTTAATTATTGTGGTTAAAATGAACAACGTTTTATTTCACTAATCGAGTATTATGTATGCACTAATCAAATTTTGGTATAAATAATTTCAGTGCACTAATCGAAAACAATAATCGAGGGATTTCTGTACATAGAACAAAAAAAAAAGCAGGAGTTATTGGATGTCCATGAAAGAACATAGCAGATTAAAGAAGTATAGATATTTACTTGAAAACTGAGTCACGTTGTGACAAAAGGCCAGTTTTTAACGTGGGGATACAAGTGTTTTCACTCGGGCCGCTGGTCTAAGCTTGTCTTAGCTGGTCATAGCTTGTCCAAGCTGGTCCGAGCTGGTCTAAGCTAGTCATAGGTGGTCTTGGCTTGTCATAGCTGGTTCAAACTGGTCAGAACCGGTCCAAGCTAGTCGTAGTCGTGGTACCTCCAGCACAGGGACGGAGATTAAAGAAGTATATATGGTTTCCATTTTTCAAAAAAGGTGAGTGTTGGAATAATTCTTACACACTTAATAATAAAAAAGTAAATAATTTTTATCAGTTCTCCCTGCTGTTAATTTTGTTTTTTCCAAGCAAGTTTAATATGGATCCATGGCAAAATCACAGTGGACAAAATCCCAGCCACTTACACAAAAGTGGACAACATCCCAGTCTCATATAAGATTAGTGAATAAGATTGGTTTGGTTTGTTTTACGACATATCAACACCTCAATGGGTTATTTAATGCCGACAAGGTTTTTATTGCTGGTAATATTTTTTCCCAAAATGTATTACTGGTAATACTTTTTTCTTCAAAAATGCATTGCTGGTAATGTTTTTTTCTTTATAAAATGTATTGCTGGTAATAATTTTTTCTTTATAAAATGTATTGCTGGTAATATTTTTTTCTTTATAAAATGTATTGCTGGTAATATTTTTTTCTTTATAAAATGTATTGCTGGTAATATTTTTCCCCCAAAAGTATTGCTGGTAATAATTTTTCCTCAAAGAATTTATTGCTGTTAATAAAACCTATTTTTACACTTTCATAGTGTTTTGATCCTAGTTTGGTTGTTAACTATTTACCCATAGTTTGGACCCCTAACAGGTGCTACCACCCCGGATCAAACCTGGACCACTTGCTGTCGTCAAAACCTCCTGATCAAAGGCCTTGCTGTCGGATGTAGTTTATCGTCTTACCCAGGACGCGGATATATCGTCATAACCAGGTCAGGTAATAAGATTAGGTATAAAAGCCACTTTTGGATTTTATTATTGCCTCAATTTGACATTCAAACTTGAATTCAAATTTCCTTTAATTCTCAATGTTAAATTTATTTATTTTTTATATATGTGACTTTTATTTATGGGACTGGGATTTCGATCACATTAAGGCAAGAATTTTGGCCCCTGCATTTTTGTCCGCTACAATTTTATTCGCTGAAATTTTGTCCACTGGGATTTTGTCCTGTTACCGTTTATTATCATTATCGACGACGCAATTTTAAGAGCAGCTTTTTTCTTGAGAGCCTTATCATTTATTTAGCGCAATGACACCATCTTACTCTGATGCTAGCAAACGACAAATAGCAACTGTTTTATTTGGCT